AGATCAGATGGCCGGGCCGGGCTGGAAAGAATCACCAACAAGGAACTATGGGAAGGAACAAACAAAGCAAGAACCAATCGCCAATCAACAGATATGCGGGAGGAAGTGGAGATGGATCGGACACTCGCTCGCTGAGGAGACCGCTGGGTGACATCGCGCGCGCGTCAGGCCATTGCTCGAGTGGAACCAGGCCGAAAAGGAAGCAGCGAGTGGGTCGTCAGTACAAGTCTGTCTGTCTGTTCTCGACATAGAACTTGTCAGTACAAGGGTGACATGGAGGAGATCGTGTGAAGAGGAGTTGTGAAAGAGTATGCACTAACTAACATGGGTGGATGCAGGTGAAAAGTACAGCAGAAGGAAGACAGAAGTGGCAAGTGGAGACGTGCAGTTGAAGCCCTATGTTCCACTAGGAACCCCAGGGAGCTATAATAATGATATAATATACATAATTTTGTATAATTTAGTTTTGAAAGGGTTGGTTATGTTTTTAACGAGTTTGACCACAGATCGATATTATTTGGAGAAACGTCGAAAACCAGCAGCAGGGAGTACTGGACAGCCAGCTGTTTCATCAGCCTAGTTTGGGAATCATCGGCAGTACGCACCCACTGCACCGGGGTTCAAACGCAGTACCTTCCGGTTACAATGCACGCTGGCTCGTATACCATTCACACACTCTGGTAGAAGATAGAATTCATGACCCGGCGGCCATTGAATCTGGTCGTGCCCCAGTGGCTGAATGGTATACGAACCAGCTTGCCTTGTAACGGGAAGGTTCTGGGGTTGGAATCCTTTGTAGGGTGGTTGTGTACTGCCGGTGATTCCCAAACTAGGCTGATGAAACAGCAGCTGTCCAGTAATCCTTGTGGCTGGTTTTCAATGGTTCTCAAACGTATATCAATCCGTGATCAACTCGTAATATATATATATGTACATCTATGAGCGAACAAACTCCAATTCCTTAGTTTACCAACGCATACTGGTCCTGGTAGGGGGCTTGCAAACCTACGGAAAACAGCGAACCAAAACACTACAGAAATAGCAAATCGTAGCACAAATAAGAAGTATATGAGAACGAGAACAGGGAATATCTACACCTATTGAACTCTTTTTGTTGTTGGTGTGTTACATAACCATAGCCACTACTACTACTATTGAAGGGCAGAGATATAAATTTCTCACTAGCATACAGTATAGGTAGTATACACACCTTTATATATATATATATATATATATATATATATATATATATATATTAACCAATGTAATACAGAGAAGAGAAAGGCTTGACATGCACACACACACAGACATAACCTTTTTGATCAACTATGGTGGTGATCTTAAGGTATCACATGACTGCCTATATATATATATATATATATATATCGACCGTCGTAGGATGACTATCGTTTAGTGAATATTCACAGTTTAAACCAATCATCCATACACAGACAGAGAATATATTCGATCGACAAACAAACATACAATTAGAAATTTTCTCTCCCCAACCACAACCACATCGGTAAATATATATTATAATATGATGAATGGCGTGTAAAAACCAGAACACGCACAGAAAAACTGGTAGTGCAAAAAAAACTCAAGCAACACAGTCATGATTATTGACAATGCAGTTCTACCTACCTACCTATGTCAGCTAAACTTCTACGATTGAACATCAAGTTTTCCATGAATATCTATCTGTCTGCTTTCGACATAGAACTTTGCACAAATGTGCGGCAGTCCAAGTCGCCACACTCCCTCCTTGTAGCACACATAGCAAGAGAAGAAAGTACAAGAAAAGCATAATAGAGGGACAGCAAGCAGAGGTGTGAGACAAAGGAAGAGTAATAACGAAGAACAAAACAGTTTCATTGGAAATCATAAATCACAAGGAGTGGATGCATCTGCGCCAGCCATTACCAAGATCAATTTTGAGCCATGTCCCCAATTGTTTCCAACCATTTGTTTTTACCGTCCCGAGGATCCCAACCAATCAGCCAGGTAGTCTACGCCTTCCTAAGTGGCTTAGACTAACTATTGAAAATTTCACTGACTGGTGAAGCCATGTTTTGGTTTGACCTCCGCTAGCTCTTTTCCAGCCTGACCCTACGTCAGCTAACATTGTTCGTCGAGGAAGGCGATGACTAAGCATACATGAGTAACACATGTCCTAACCATCTCAGTCGATGTAAGTTCACAACTTCGTCGACTGATATCCCCCTCCTCCTTACCCAGCACTCGACCGACGCCTAACCTCAATATTGCTCACCACACTACAAATAACTAGAAAAGGAACAATTTCTAAAGAACGTATTTGAACGGAGTTGAGTGTCAACTGATAGTGATGAGTTCAATAAAAAAATCTTCAGTAATGACCTAACCAAAAACTTACTATTATGGAGAGGGCCGAAAACTGTTGAATGAGGCCCTTAACCCTAGCAGAAGTCGTTAGATGTGAAGATTGAGACCTAAACAGGGGTTCATCAAATACTATTTTCAACAGTGTCGAGGTTTGGACAACGATGTTTTAGCTTATTGAAAATTTTTATTCCCCATTCTGTCTTAATTTTATTCCTCTTCGCACCAAAAACCGCCACGTCACCCGCCAACGCCCAACTCGTCGAGTTTGAGTTCGCACACAAGAGTCCGCCTGCCGTGTGCCGTGTAATGTAAATGTCACCTGAATATCTCCTCAGAAAAATGTTTGAGCAGCTACCGCACTTCCCCTTCGGAACATTTCTTGGGAAGTGGGTCCCTCCACTTGGCTGGCTGGCTGTCAGAAATTCCTCATTTCTCAACCTTTCTCACAACAGTCATCTGATTTTTGCACTACACTTAGTAGAGGCATTTCCTGAGATGAAAAATTTTGCAACAGGCTGCTGCAGCGAAACGCAGAAAATCTTTGAACACACTGGTGAAATTACTGATTTGACACGTTTTATTATTCTATCCTTACTGATAAATGATTCAGCATTTTATAGGCAGATGGTCTCTATTAGAGTAAAAAACGACATCCTGTTGATATTTTTTTATCTTCATTAAAAAACATTATTTGAAAAAAACACAACTACCGAAAATAGAATCTCTACGATATATCTAGAATTTAGCGATAGAAATTTTCCTCGAGTTAACAAACACAATGTGAGATGCGGATTTTAAAACCCTTCATTAATTATACCATAAAAAGTTGGTTTAGATAATACAAGTCGTGTGTGCTATGACTGACTGGTTTCAACGTAGAACTGCACTGCACAGATGTGCCGTGCATTTCGAGTTGCCACACTGCACTTAGCAAACAAATCAAGAGAAGAAAGTATAAAAAGGAATTCAAAAGAGAGATAAAAGAAACAGAAATATGAGGGGGAAAGAATAGTAATGTGCAAGGATATTATGGGGCTTTATTGGATATTACAAGGAGTGGATGCATCTGCGCCACATCACCATCATTTGTCACCGACCATCATTGGGTCTTACCACACACCCCGACTACCCCCACCCCAACCAGACGGGAGAAGCTAGTCTACGCCTCCAGACATGGCTGCTCAAAACCAACTGGTATGGATTTCATATGGACTGATGATGAAGCTGTCTTCATTTTTTGACCACCACCACCACCACTAGAGCTAATTCTTTTACAACCAGATCAACTCCTATGTCAGCGCTAACATTGACGACAACAGTCGAGGAAAACGATGGCTAGGCAGACAGGTGTATGAGTAAAACAATCTCCTAATCATCTCAACGATCAACGTAAATTCATAACCTCGTCGATGCCTTAATTTCAATCGTGCGATATATCTATATATATATATATATATCTGTATATATATATATATATATATATATATATATATATATATGGGAGAAAAACCAGCAGCAGATCTATGCATAAAAGATATGTGTATAGCTATCTCATCGAGCGGCTGTTAGGGCAGCCTTTCCACAGTTTCGTACATTGTACGAACATTCCAGGGAGCCCTTCTTTACTTTTGCTGGCTCTCCAAAGGCTTTCACTAACCTGCGTCACTTCACTTCTCCGATTCCAACGAAAAATAAGGCTATTGTTTGTATTTATTTTAGAATTTTTAATATATATTTATTCGTTGAAGTTTCTGTAGCGATTTGGTTGAGTTTTACGGGGTGGAGTTGCTAGCACCACGCCCCAACCCTCCCTCTTTATCCGCCGGGCTTGGGACCGGTTAGAAAACTAGCAAGCTAATAACCTGGCGATACAATACAAACGGCGTTACGTCAGTTCTTCTATACGGAACGGATCAGAAACTTGGCGGGTGGGTCACAAAGAATATTTCCAACAGCCTGTTGAAGACCTTTATTAACAACTGTCTTCGCTGGATCGATACTGAAGATCAGATGGCCGGGCCGGGCTGGAAAGAATCACCAACAAGGAACTATGGGAAGGAACAAACAAAGCAAGAACCAATCGCCAATCAACAGATATGCGGGAGGAAGTGGAGATGGATCGGACACTCGCTCGCTGAGGAGACCGCTGGGTGACATCGCGCGCGCGTCAGGCCATTGCTCGAGTGGAACCAGGCCGAAAAGGAAGCAGCGAGTGGGTCGTCAGTACAAGTCTGTCTGTCTGTTCTCGACATAGAACTTGTCAGTACAAGGGTGACATGGAGGAGATCGTGTGAAGAGGAGTTGTGAAAGAGTATGCACTAACTAACATGGATGGATGCAGGTGAAAAGTACAGCAGAAGGAAGACAGAAGTGGCAAGTGGAGACGTGCAGTTGAAGCCCTATGTTCCACTAGGAACCTAAGGGAGCAATAATAATAACAATAATCTCATCGACAGCAATGAAATGGAACCTCATGGATTTATAATAAAATTTTACGATGATCAATAGTTTGCACTTGTGTATGGTTATGTAACAAAAAACGTGATGAGAAAAAATTTGCTTATACTGGTTTATATAGTAAAAGTGATAGTCGCAAAAACTATACAAACTACAAACACATACAGAGGACGACTTACAAACATCATATACAATCCTAGGATCATTCAAATGCGTCCACATCATTTTTTGCTCCCGTGTAAACGGATTCAATACAGCTATATGCGATGCAGACTGAACATAGGAATAACTAGAACGAAAGCGTAAGCCTTCAGGACTATCCACAGGAATCTAAACATATACATAGTGAACAAAAAAGAAAGATAGTAGGCTGAATGAACTGGAAAAAATTCACTAACTTGATAACCAAACTAACTCGAAAATTTTAAATATTTATTCTGGATTTCATCATGGGCTGACATTAGTTAGAGAACCATTGGAAAACCTGCAGGGAGTACTAGACAACTGTTTCGTCATAGTTTGGGACCCTTCATCAGTACGCACCCACCAACAAGGTTCGAACCCAGGACCTTCCGGGTACAAGGCGAGCTCGTATACCATTAAGCCACTGGGACCCAATCCAATGGTCCTTGAATTCTAACTTCTGCCAATTCAGGTAGGTAGTTACCTATGTTCCAGTGGGAAGTCGTGACCAGTAGGGTGCAGCTGGTCGGGTGTGAGGACAAATACTTGCCACCGAAAACATTGGTTAGCGGTCGGGCTAAGTCGTGAATTGGCAGAAGTTAGAATTTAAGGACCATTGGATCGGGTCCCAGTGGCTTAATGGTATACGAGCTCGCCTTGTAACCGGAAGGTCCTGGGTTCGAACCTTGTTGATGGGTGCGTACTGCTGAAGAGTCCCAAACTAGGACGAAACAGCTGCCCAGTACTCCCAAGTTTTCCGATGGTTCTCTAACTAATGTCAGCTCATGATGAAATCCTGAAAACCAATCAAATCCCTACAAACCAACACTTAAATTTATCCTGTCTGTTTTGTCTCTTAAATCAGAATTATCGAACTGCCTCTACTGGCAAATCAGTAGACATAAAGTGAATACATGCATGGGGTCAAGGTTAGTAGAAAATCTTTTTTATAGAATAACAGTAAAACACACATTACAAGTAAACACAATACACAGAGTAAGAATAAACACACTGAGAATGAAACCTTCACATATATAACCAATAAGTTACATTGGAAAACTTCATGCAATTCTTCCTACTAATAAACTTGAACAAGGCAAGAACAACAATTGTACCAGGATAATATGAGCTCATCTTTTATTATTATTTCGAGGATTCTTCTCAACTGGTTACAACCTGAACGTTAAAAAAAAATATGAATTACATTAAAGATATGAACATACTTTTCCACGATCTACCAAGGAGTAATTGGTAGGAATTAAAAGTAACATTAGTCGGGAATGATTTAACTGCTTAGGAGTTACAAACACTGAATATTTATAGAATAATTAGACAATTAGACTTGGAAACAAGAAAACAGGGTTGCGTATATATGTGTGTGTAGAGAAACAAGGTTTAACTAGAAAGAGCATAACAAAAAAGTAGATTACGTAACTAAAGAAAGCATCTTATCTAATAGCCAATAAAAAAGAAAGAAAAGAAACAAGGTAGGGTGAGTCATGTTTAGATGGGAGAGTAAAGTTTTCTAAACATGAAAAAGGTGACTCATGAAAGTTGTATATTTTTCTTTGTTATCACCAGGACAATGCAAGATTCACCACTGTCTCTTTCTGCGTACATAAATTTGGTTTAAGTCGTTTGATGGCAATTGCTTCAGCAAAGCGTAGCAAGCTAGGTTTCTTTTGCTTGTTGACTATTTTAAACGACTTCAGGTTGTCTACAATATGACCAGTGTCTAATAGATGACGAGCAATAGCACTGTTTAATGCTTGCGAGCCTTTCAGTCTCAGGTTCTTTGGTATGTGTTCATAAATGCGCACACTAACCCTTCTCTCTGTTCTTCCAATGTATGTGCTTTGGCACGTACATGTAAATTGGTAGACACAATTGGAGGTAACATGAGGTGGGTATTTGTCCACTTTTGATTGTCTCAAACAACTAGTTGTTTGTTAGTTGTTTCTACATACACATATATATACGCAACTCTGTTTTTTGATTCCAAGTCTAATTGTCTAATTATTCTATAAATATTCAGTGTTTGTAACTCCTAAGCAGTTAAATCATTCCCGACTAATGTTACTTTTAATTCCTACCAATTACTCCTTGGTAGATCGTGGAAAAGTATGTTCATATCTTTAATGTAATTCATATTTTTTTTTAACGTTCAGGTTGTAACCAGTTGAGAAGAATCCTCGAAATAATAATAAAAGATGAGCTCATATTATCCTGGTAGAATTGTTGTTCTTGCTTTGTTCAAGTTACATGGAATTGTGAATTAGCGAGAAAGTTAGTGAGAACTTTCACAGTATTGTGATTTATGCACAGGGAGGAAGCCGCCATACACAACAAAATCCGATAATGGATATTCATCTTTTGCAATCCACGAGAAGAGTATATCTCAACTCTGACATATCTCAAATAGGGTCAATCTATATATAGAAAAATTTTTAAAGGCACAAAATGCCAGTCTAGTTCCAAAGTCATTCACTAGGAGTGACTTGAACTGGATTTATTACTTCATTCCGAAAAAAAGTCGAAACCTCCATTGCGAAACAACAGCCAGCACATCATCACTGACCACAGTTTAACAACTCTGAGTATAGTACTTCTAGAATCTTAGATGACATCCGAGGATGGATGTATTAACCAACCATAGCGTTGAACAAGTTTAAGTAAACTAAGTTACCGAGACCAGATTTTTTTGCCATCTTCCTGGCTGTCTCTGTCGCTTACACCGCAAGTTTTTTTTCCTATGGTAATACATGTATATCAGTAATTTTATGTGACTAAATATACAGTGACTAAAAAATAGCTGCTGTAAGTTGATGATTACATCTCGTTTGCAGATTTGAATCCATCCTACTGTGGGGGAGTGTCTAAGGGATGAAACTGAATGCAAACTTTTAATTTTAATCCTGAGGAAAGACTGCCACACGCAGAGTCGAAAATCACCATAATTGTTAACTCTTATAAGGAACTTTTTAAGGACTTGTCGTCATATATCATATTCATAAGTGCTCATCAGTAAGACAAAATGCCCACAAACGCACATTATCCAACCTATGACAGACAGTATTCTTAATTTTATCTTAGTATTGCTTATGAAAACACATGGAACCGGTTCCTACACTTCCCAGCTGCTCATATCACATGTAAGTTGTGATTTCTTTTTGAGATGCCCGAAATAGAAGGGGTATATACGTGTTGCCTGACCAGCACAGTCTTCATCAACGAACAATTTGTCTCTATTTGCTATTTTTTGTTTTAATCAATCACGAATTGTCTTCCAAGAGTATCATTTATAATCGCGTAATTTTCAGAATCATTTCAACAACATATCGCGTTGAGTCATTCTCAAAAAATTGAAGAAAAAACATCACAGTGATTGGCAGGGCACAGTGCATTAAAACGTACAGAAATTAATCAAGCATATGACTGTCCCAAAGTTATCAACACCGACAGACTGCAGGTCTCTGCCTAACACAAAGCGAACTATCTACAATCTCTAATATCCTCGGATTTGTATCGAAAGGCCGGTTTTAGCTATCTATATACAAGAGACTGCTTCACCTAAATATATGACGACAATCTAATCTCATTAAAAGGGTATGCAGTTTTCTGTCAGGACAGACATAGTTTAAATAAAAAGCGTAGTGTAGGGGTGATAGCCACCTTTTATTAATTAATACAAAGTGGTCTACATCTAATCACGCATATTTTTAAGTTTTCCAATGACCATTAGGTGTCATCCGAAGCACTCGAGTAAACACTCCTACATATATATATATATGACAAATGTCTATATGATTCCAGACTGCAGTTCCTATGATATATCTTCCACAGAGTGCTACCGACAATTATATATCTCATCCAACAGTTATAAGAAAATGCTGCATGCCAAGTAATCCACAACGGGAAACTTACTGAAGCCTTCGAAGTGAGGACGGGAGTGAGGCGAGGCTGTCTACTATCGCCAATCATCTTCCTGACTGCAGTAGATTGGATAATGCGAAAGACAACCGGCAATGAGGAAACAGGCGTAAAATGGACTGACAAAGAACGTGGAGGAACTGGACTTCGCCGATGATGATATATGTCTGATTTCCCACAAACTGGAAGATATGCAAGTGAAAAGCAACAAGCTGGCAGAAGATGCATCAAAGATAGGAATTCAAGTGAACATAGATAAAACAGAGGTGGTGAGGATTCGTGGCCAACACCAACAGCCACAACAACAGACAACAATCAGCCAGCATAAATGGGAGGAACCTGAAAGAAACAACCTCCTTCACCTACCGACATGGGAAGCATCGTCTCAACTACAGGCGGATGGAACTGACGAGGATATCAAAGCCAGAATCCGAAAAGCAAGAGAAGCTTTCATTATTCACATCAAATCTGTGTGGAGGTCAACAGCACTGCTCAGCATCAAAAATAAGATCCGGATTTTCAACTCCAATGTGAAGCCAGTCAGTGCTGCTCACTATACGGATCAGAGACTTGCACTGAGCGTCATAAAGAGCATCTCAAACAAACTTCAGACCTTCATTAACAGTTATCTTCGCTCAATACCACTCAAGATCAGATGGCCGGCCAGAAAAGATCAGCAACAGGGAGGGATCTCTGGCAATGAGCGAACCAACACCGCAGGAACCGATTGCGAAACAAATAGGCAGGAAGAAATGGAGATGGATTGGATTGGCCATACTCTGAGTAAACCATCAAGTAACTTCATTAGACAAACGATTGCTCGAATGGAACCTGAAAGGGAGGCGGCGAGTTGGTCGTCCAAGGGTGACTTGGAGGAGGTCATGCGAGGAGGAGATGAAAACATGCGGACGGACTTGGAGCGGACTGAAAACGTTGCCAGAAAACCGAAGGTAGTGGAGATGCGCGGCTGTGAAACCCTATGTTCCTCTAGGAATTAAAGGAAATAATAATTATATAATAATAGTAATTTCGTAAAGTTGCACTCAATAATCTACAACTACACTACACTATATAACACCACAGAAGTAATTCTAATTAATGGGAATTTTCTTTTTACCGTACTGACACTAAGGAGCACATAAAAAAGTGAGAAATAATTCATTGCTTATGTAAAACATTAAATAAATTTATAAAAACTATCAAATATTGTATAATATATTTACTTGGAGGAATGTACAATGGTGTTTGATAAGCTGATAAACTTTTGAATCCTTCCAAACATCACGGTTTAACAAATGACACTCAAAACACCCTTCATCGTGGACGCTAACAAGCAACCATTGATGTTTCTCTTGAGCAGTTATTGCAGCCTGTTCAAAAAAAAGTTATGAGTGAGTGTAAGTAAGATGGATATAGAAGTGATAACCTGACTATATTAAGATTAATTTTATAAGCTTTATAGACTTACTATAGAGATGAGGCAAAGCATAATCGTATCTTATGTATATGTAAGTGGATATTATATATATTAACTGTCGAAACTTAACACAGCTGACATAACCAATGACCCACTCTAACTTACAGCATTCAACGATCCATTGAATAATAATTCAACAGGAGGCTGATAAAGTTCCTGTAGGTGTCGCTTTTTCTTTTGTTGTGTCGTAGTATCATTCTTTACTCCATTGACATGACCGTGACATGAACGAGCAATTGATGAACCAGAGTTAACACCTTCTGTATTTGATGATGATGATGAATTAGGCTTGTATCGTGGTTTCACTGAACGCTCCTCCTAACAACGAACAGAAGTTATGAAGTTATAGCGACACTCTTAAGGCTTCGTGCTATTTTTTAGTGGATTTTATATATGACGCCAAAAATTAAACATAACTTATTATATTATTAGCATGAGAGTTTGTGTTTTTTAACACGTTTGACTCAAATATCAACTTTAGAACTAAAGTGTAGTTGCTAAAAACACATTCTAAGGGATTTAGAGACTGTTCTCTATCCGCGGGAAGAGACCAACACAAGCGAAACCTATAATAGACAGCCAAGGCAACCCAATCATTACCAAGGAAGAAAAACAGATTAAACAATGGGCGGATCACTTCAAAGGACTCTTGAACCGACCATTACCTGCAACCCGTCCAGAAATACCAACAACACCACGCACACAACTGCAAGTTGACACCAATCCTCCAACGAAAGCTGAAGTCTTGAATGCAATCAAGACTCTGAAAGCTGGAGAGAGCAGCTGGACCAGATGGAATACCCCCTGAAGCACTGAAAGCGGACCCAGAGACTACAGCAGACATGTTGACTCACTCCATTATTGCAAAAGGTCTGGAAGGAGGGAAAGGTGCCTACTGACTGGAGGAAAGGTTACCTCATGAGACTAACTACCAAAGAGGGGCGACTTACGCCTCACTCTGCAAGAACTGGCGAGGAATGATGCTCCTGTCGAAGCCAAGTAAAATCCTGAGTCGCATCATCCTGGAGAGAATAAAGGACGCACTGGATGCAGAACTCTGACCAGGACAAGCTGGCTGGATTCAGGAAAGGCAAATCATGTTCTGACCAAATTGCAACTCTACGCATCATCATCATCACAGAACAAAGCATGGAATGGCCATCAATCAAACCTCTACCTCAACTTCATAGACTTTGAGAAGGCCTTCGACAGCGTTGACCGTGAAGCAATTTGGAAACTACCCGAGTACTACAGCGTGCAGCGCTCAAATATTCATCAACCTTATTCAACAGCTCTGCGACAACAACGGCACATGTCAAGTGATCCACAACGGAAAATTCAGCGAGGCGTTTGGAATAGACACAGGAGTCAGACAAGGGTGCTTATCATCACCAATGAATGATATTCCTAATTGTGGTGGACTGACTGGATTATGCATCAGAAAGTGGGAAACGAGAAGACAGGAATATCCTTCACCGACGCGAAGAACCTAGAAGACCAGGATTTCGCTTGTGGATGATTTATGTTTGATGATGTCACACAAAATCGAAGACTTAAAAGCGAAAACCGACAAACTGGTCGAAGAAGCAGCCGGAGAAGACAGGACTTCAGGTGAACATACACAAGACGGAGGTTATGAAAATAGTCGACCAACAACAACAACAACAGCAGCAACATACACCGTCAATCACCATCAACGGGACGGGTTTGAAAGAGGTTACTTCATTCACTTATCTAGAGGGAGGAAGCATTGTCTGAACTACAGTAAGTCGGAACGGACGAGGATGTCAAATCGAGCGAGAATCGGGGAGGGGGGCGAGAAACACATTCATCAACCTGAAATCAATCTGGAAATCTTCGTCACTCAGCCAGCGTCAACTTACTTACTTTACTTTACTTCGGCTATCTCCTACGGGAGGATGAGCCGGCTTCATGAACCATGAAGTTTCATGGGAATTGGGTACGAGTGATGTCCCCAGCATCGCTCGGCCTTTTGTTTGAGAGTGCAGCTCTAGCCTTTACACAACCAAGTGTGACCTACAAGGCAGTAGGAGTGGAGTAGGGAGTCCACTATCCATTGGCAGCCGGTGACCGGAGTCCGGTTCATTCGCCTTTTTGAATGGGGCCAGTCATCCAGGGCATCCAATAATCCCTTTGTCCATACGTCTGCCGGTGATCTTCATACGCCAGTCTTTGGAGGTTTGGAATCAGGGTTTAGCCATCTCCCCTAGACTGTCATCCAATGGACAGTCAACCCGGTGAAGAGCGCCGGGCATCCGCTTTTGCCCTCTCACTTTGGTGAAAAACACCCCCACCACGTGAAGGCAGTGAGTAGGACTTCCTCGGGAGAGGCTATGTAAGACGCCCGGTCATATGGGAGCATTTCAAGAGGTGTACGGAGGGGTGGCCAACCCGCAGCGCAAGACACCCACCCCCGACCATCCTGAGGCTTTGGAGGCAGCGTCAACAACAAAATTCAGTCGGATTTTCAATACAAACGTAAAGTCAGTCGGTTCTTCTATACGGAACGGATCAGAAACTTGGCGGGTGGGTCACAAAGAATATTTCCAACAGCCTGTTGAAGACCTTTATTAACAACAACTGTCTTCGCTGGATCGATACTGAAGATCAGATGGCCGGGCCGGGCTGGAAAGAATCACCAACAAGGAACTATGCGAAGAAATAAACAAAGCAAGAACCAATCGCCAATGAACAGATATGCGGGAGGAAGTGGAGATGAATCGGACACTCGCTCGCTGAGGAGACCGCTGGGTGACATCGCACGCGCGTCAGGCCATTGCTCGAGTGGAACCAGGCCGAAAGGGAAGCAGCGAGTGGGACGTCAGTACAAGGGTGACATGGAGGAGATCGTGTGAAGAGGAGTTGTGAAAGAGTATGCACTAACTAACATGGATGGATGCAGGTGAAAAGTACAGCAGAAGGAAGACAGAAGTGGCAAGTGGAGACGTGCAGTTGAAGCCCTATGTTCCACTAGGAACCCAAGGAAGGAAGAAATAAATAATTAAAATAGATAGGGTTGCAAAGCATTGGTACACACTAGGACCCCATATGATACCTGAAATATATATACAATGGGGTGTATCACTCATGGAATCAATAAAAATGAATAAGCGAGTAAATTCTATATGCGTCGGTGGCACAGTGGTTAGGACTCTCGCCGACCTGCACATTGTCCGAGGTTCGATCCCCTGCCGATACACACTTGATATCTAGGGTCAGCCTGCAAAATTTGGGCTACCGATATCACATGCTAAAAATTCCATACTTGTACCAAAAGGTGCAGTGTGGCATCAAGATGTAATCAAAAATTTAAAAAATAAAATAAATAAATTGCATGTGTCAAAAAAAAATACTGAATTTCGAAACAAACAAACTTCGCCTTTTCAAATGATATTGACATCTCTTACACCACTTGTCAGGATAACATCATCGCCTGAACTATCATCGGAATCTTCGGCCACAAATGCTCGCCGACGTGTTTGAAGTGGAGCTGGATTTTGCAAATGAGTAGGCACTAAAGCATACGATTAACAACAAAAAAAAATAATATAGTGATAATCTTCTGATAGTTGCATTAAAAAAACTGATCAGCAAAAACTAAATAGTATCTCATTTGAAAGAAACAGTGTCGTGGTGAGTTTTACTTTAAAAAAAAATACTCAAGTCCGACACTTGATAGTGAGTTAACGAAGTCTACAAATAACATTTTTATCAACTTAATATTTACATTAGTAGGTCTAAATTAGTCATTTACTACTACGTAATTTAGGAAAAAATGGAACCAGACCTTTGTTTTTGATTCAAGATAAATATATCTGACAAAACTGCAACAAGTTATATAGAATTGGGTGGATTTAGACCTCAGTGTGGTCGTTCATCAACGGACAAAAAAAATATTTACTTCAGTCTCTGGTAGTCTGTGAACAAATGATGAAATGTTTATAAGTCGCCTCACTGAATGTCAATGGCTTCAATTAAGTAGAACCACTTTTAAACAAAGACTGTGTACCAAAAATATCACAATATACCTGATCCTAGAAAAGAAATGAGTACAATATTGTCATATTGTTGAATATAAAGTGGGCATTAGGAATTAAGTGAGGCTTAACCTAATCTCATTTTCTAGTAACATTAGTGCATCACTTTTTAGATGGTTCATTAATTCGTGGAAATTAGAACACATTACCACGGCGAACTATGCAAGTAGGTGCGGCCGTTCAGGGTGATAGTTATTATTAAACACATTTACAATCGATTGGGACGATACACATAGTAAAGGTTAGATTCACTTATATTTCTACCGGCGTAATCATCCACATAAAAGCGTGTCAATTTCAGGCTGGAAAATCACCGACACACATCAACATAAATGCGTACATATTAGAAATGAATACTCAGACATAACTGCATACTACTATCTATACGCCTATTAGTTGTGCTTATACACCTAAAATTAAAAAAAAACTTGATCCAAAAGCCAGAATAAACATTTAGCCTGATAATAGCTAGAAAGAACCGAAAGCCCAACCTGATGATGTACACATCTAACGAAACTAGGTACTGATTATAGGGTTTGTAGGAATTTAGAATTAATTACAATTTCGAAACATGCCAGCTAACTGATAGCTGCTGAGTGGATTTCTTGAAGCCACATTGAAAATTCGTGACCAACGCCATCCACTATGTCAAGGTGAAGAGGATTCTCATCGGTCATTGGCGAGGGCGCCGCTATATCGCAAGTTGACAGCTTGAATTCAGGAGTTATTGCGATCTAGCCCAAGTGGTATAATGATCAAAGACTTTAGTCTCCTAACATGAAGGTTCCGGGTTTGATCCTTTACGGAATCATGGGTGTGCATTGATGAGGCGTTCCGGAATTACACAAAACAACTGTCCTAAGTTCACTGGTTTTCAATAATCTCGCTAACTGACGTTGGTTCTTGTCAAAAGTCTAACAATTTAAGTCAGAGATACTGACCAAATACACTGACATTCATAAAGTGATAATTACTAGTAAGAGCAAAACTAATAATGAAGATGTGGCAAATCGTGAAATGAACTTACGAAGTGGCACAACTACAGGCAGTAGCTGCTCATTTCTTTGAGGGATGGGGGCACGATATTCCTCTGTAGCACTGTGAGATGGAACTCTACTAGGGTCATCCATATACAGACTCACAGCTAAATCCAAATCATCGTTGCAAGCTGACAAAAATGAGCGAGCAGTTTCTTCATCCGTGCCTGATAATATCATCGGGAACCGTGATAACCTACCTGTAACCTGACAAAACTCCCGGACACATTTCATAGATACTGTGTGAGACAGCATTTTACCGTGAAAGATGACGTCGTAGTCCAGGTCCTAGCCACTCAAACGACCGGCAATTGTGCCCACTGTGCCGCGCTATTTTGAATCCCGCGCCGCCTCCTATGCCGTAAAAAATATTCGGTACAATGAAGACATTCTTATTCTACGTTAGTTTGGGGCTAGGAATTTGCATCAAACTCAGTGGAAGTCTTAAATGACTATTTTATCGCACTGCAAATTTCAAAACTGTAATATAGTTAAGAATCAACCGAGTACTTATGCGGTTCCAATTATGAATATTGTGAGATCTACATGTACTTTTCCCTCTCCTAATATAAAAGTCTATTTACATTATCTAGTGATAAATAGCCCGTCGTGATTGGCGTCATCCATTAGTTATCCCAAACGTAATAAAAGTAAGTGATAAATTTGTGTAGAGAATGGATAACCACCCTATCATTGTTTATCTAACCAACACCAAACACCAAAGTCAAAATGATGTAACGCCCACACCAGATGTACGGGAAATTGCAATAAACATTAGGACTAAGGAAAAACTTATAAAGCTAATTATGGATTCATGTCAGTACACTGATGTGATTGTGAGTGAAGCCATAGCCAATTCCGCAGAATTAATATCCATGGCAGTTATCACTGAACATTCCATGCAGCTAGCAGGCAGTTTACCCATTCGAGGAGCTTTCCAGTTATTTGTGGGACTGTAGTTTTGTTAGGAGTCTGTTATGTGGGACTTTATCAAAGGCTTTGCTAACATCAAGAAATTATGTTGTTGCTGGATGGCCAGTAACTATGCTCAAAATAATCTAAGTGGCAAGTAGTGAATGGCCTTCCACTTAAGAAACCGTGTTCGGACGGCGATAGTAGGTCATTTGACAGCAATTACCGAATGATCTGAGTCTTTACCATCTTTTTCCATTACACGTGAAACTACATACGTGATGTTGACGGGGAGGTAGTTGTTGATATCAGCTATAGGCCCGTATTTATGGATAGGTACAATGTAAGACTTCTTCCAGCCGGTAGGGTATGTCCCATCGTTTAGTGAAATTGAGTATAACTTGAGTAGGGGTAAATTCATGTCATTACCACAGTTTTTCAGCAGGATGGAAGATATACCGTCTGAACCAATAGTGTTACTAAGCTTAAGGTTTGCGACAGCTTTATCGATCTCATCTGTGGTGAAAATTATGTCACTTAAACAATCGTCTGTTTTACGTGGGAAATCCACGATGTGATCGTTCCCTAAGATGTATAATCTGGCAAAGTGCTTGCTCAACAGTTCACATATCACCTTGTTATTCTCGTAAGCAATGCTGTCCTAGTATATTACATGTGGGTATGCTGTTTTGGGGTTTTTTAACCTACTTTTGAAAAGTTTGGCTATTTCTCCCGGGTCATGTGTCGACTGGACTTCTTTGTTTCTGACGCTCATATTTTTTAACTCTTGAATTCTATTGAGAAGGGACGTGGTAGAAACTAATGATGATAAGTAATGATATCTGTAGTATTTTATTGAGTGCTTATTGAGTCCTTACCGATGTCGTATTATAATCGCTTCGGGGAAATTTGAAGCTAAGTGTCTTCTCAGGTGCAATGACATCATGAATTGGTTAATAGTGTGATAAAAATGGTTAAGAAATGCCCCCAATAAGAGCATATAATAAGATGCTGATACAAGTCCCAGTCAGCATGTGTGTACAATCCTATATAGCTCTGATCAGCTTCATCTATGGGCTTAGTTTCAGGAATGATGTTAAAAGAACACACTACTATTTTACGGTCACTACCCGGAAATTCATATCCAACATGTACTGTAGATGATGTTATGGTGTTCGTGAAAATAAGCTCTACATGGGAAAACTGATATGGTTAACATTAAACATTTCAAATGTAAACTATCATTTCGTGGAGTCTCCAGTCCTTTATGTGTGACTTGTAAATGTACTTCCATTGATGTATTATCCATAATTGTATTTTATGCCATCTACCAGTTTCCCAGGACGTTTACCTCCTCCTGAAACAGATTTTAATCTAGTGGCGACATAGCCTTCCCCCGGATATATGCTGCTCACTGGTTCACCATAACCACCAGCAGGGAACGGAACGAAGTCTGGGTTGGCGCTCATCTTCAGTGGTGACAGCAGTTAGGGGTTTGCAACCTAACATTTAACAATAAAACTAATAATATATTCTCTTTTGTATAAGTGTGCGTCGGTGGCACAGTGGCTAAAACTCTGGCCTCCTACTCACGCTTAATATATTTTTCTCTGTTATGCTTTAAAGAGTGCAAGTGTTATGATATATATGATGAAGATCTCTACATGAATCCATAAACAATAATTTTATGTTTCATACTGATTTCATTGACTGCTTGGATTCACACAGTGCATGAAAAAATTCATAAACTTATCGTCTGATATTGGATAAAGCATGTTTAAAGAAAGTTACCTGATAATTTTCAGGGTACTGACCATAAAAATGGTAGAAACTAGGAAAATCACATCGTCATCAATAATAATAGTAATGTGTATTCTCATGTAAACATATAAGCTTACATGAAAATGCATGCCATGTTTACGGGCACGATCAAGTATCATATAATATCAAATCGTAGATTGTCTACAAGTCAATAATGTTTCAACCGTTAAATATTTGATATATATATATATATACACTAATTGTCTGAACCAGGCCGTATAGTTATTGAATTGTGCAGTTGTCCTCCAGGTTGAGCGGGAAAATCGACTTCGTTTCGTTTTCATCCCGTGGTTGTAGGCATACGATAACCAACCAAATTTGGTAAAAATTCAAAATAAGTGATACACTTGTATAATTTTGTCAGCATTTTCATCGAGACATCACAAGTGAATTGTAATCAATGTACACTAATAATAATAATAAATTATATTTTCATATAAACCCGTGATTTCATGAAATGATAACTATTTTTGCAGATACGATCAGTCGTGTTTTAAGTTACAATCGTGACGTTGTATTACAAATCGATACTTTTCCATTGGTATGAGAGTATATTCCACAAATGTAATCCAGGTTGCGTCGTGGGAAAGTTAATTCGTTATTAACGAGGCAACTGAAAGATATGGGACCAATAATGTTTGCAGATCATTTGTCATTGAATAAATAAATTTATTCTCATGATACAGTACATGAGGGACGCCACTTTACAGGCATCATCAAATTGTTACAGAAATAAGACCATATTATTCAGTCACATTTTACAATCGATAGCAAAATATGTTTAACATGTACACTGGAGATTATACATACACTTGACAAATGTTAATCCCAATAGTATAAAACATCCTTTTCACTTATGTACAATCGTTTCTGTGCATAGTTGGAAAAATCCGATAGATTGTCAGTGAGTGCAACACATCAGGAAATACAGAAGTATTGTCTTCGCATTAACAAAAAGAGACCAGGTCTTTGGTGGATGGGTTATAAGTGCCTGGGAAAAAGAAATAAAGCTTGAAGTCACTTTTCATACATAATTTTGTTGTGTACAGAATTCTTGAATTATAGTTCATTGTTGTGTTATTTGGAAATCAGAGAAATGTTTATTTCATTTAAATAAATAAATAAATTTATTCTCATGTTGTGGATATTAACTGCTCAGCAACATTACGGATATAAGTTCATCACATTATCTTCGGAAAGTTGAGTTGTGGTTGGTGAGGTATATAAGATGCCCGACGAGCGTACATCTGTCCATGTGATGTTGTGGTGAGTTATATCTTTTTCATGTTGTCGGTTTATGTCCGTTTTATTCCACTTGTTGTGTTGGGTAGAAGTTTTACAAACGAAACTTCTTGTCTGTTTGAGGGTAAGTATCTTAATCGTTAATGTTTTATCTAAAATTATAAATATAGGCAAAAAACAACAGGTGTAGTATTTAAGCTTATACATTAAATGGACCTATAATTTCGGAGGCTCTCAGATAGGAACTAGGACTACTATCGTTTGCAAACTCTTGTAGTTTGTCGTTAAGCACTTTTTTGAATGAGGCCAATGTACCTGCTTGACGCATTTCCATTGGTAGTTTATTCCATATCTGTGCATACCTAATCAAATAAAACTTTTGCCTGGTAGCTGTTTTACATTGTTCGATAGCTACTGTACCCTTAGTGTGTCTTAGTTTGTAGCCACTGTCATCTGAAAGTCGAATGCCATTAGTAGAGGTAAAAACTAAGTGGTTTAGAAGCTTATAGTAAAGTGTTAAGTTTAGTCTCAGGCGTCTTAGCCATAGTGTTTCTAATCCTAGGGTGTCACATCTAGTGGAGTAGTTCGCACCATTTTCGGTTCCGAGTAATTTTGACGTGAAGTACCTCTGCACTCCCTCGACTTTCAATTTGTCCTCTATGCGTATACTACTATACATGAATGAACAGTAATCAAATAAAGGACGCACACAAACCTTGTACAACAGAATTCTGGACTCATTTCTGTAAAAGTTCCTGAGTAGAAAGCCGATAAGTCTGCGTGACTTTGACACTTGTTTGGAGATATGTTCAGAAAATGATAAGTCATGTGAGTATTTCAGTCCTAGGTCCAATACAGATTCCAGTCGTAAGAGTGCATGGCCTTGAATTGTCAGGTCAAGTTCTAAATTGTTGCAACCTATGCAGAGCCAGCCACATTTGTCGACATTAAACTGGAGTTGCCAGGTGTCACACCATCTGTCCATTTTTTCTAATTCTTGCTGTATGGCGTTTACTGTTATTCCGAGATCTGTGTTCTTGCATTTATAGGTCACTTTTAAGTCATCTGCATATAGTATTGGTTTACCAACACTAAAGCATTCACAGATACTGTTTATATATATTATGAATAGGAGTGGGCCTAATACACTTCCCTGGATTACACCACTACTTACAGGTTTAGGCCTTGAGATTATCGAGCCAACTTTTGTTATCTGATTCCTGTCACGGAGAAATGATTTTATCCAGCTCAGGAGGGGGTCACATATCCCTAGTGAGCATAACCTGCTGACTAGCAGATTATGGGGGACTCTATCGAAGGCTTTTGTTATATCGAAATATAGCACAATTACTAGTTCTCTGTTGTCCCTGCTTCGTGTAACTTCGTTGAAAAA